TTGATTGCTAGTAAAGTAACATACAACTTTGTATTTCTTCTAAATTAGTAACTGAACTTAAAGTAAATTTCTAATTAAACTTGTTGGTTTTGTTAGTTTTTTTGTAGTTTAACGATTATTCATATTAACAAAAACTATTTGGGCAATATAGAGTTATAATAGGCTTGGTCTACTGCTGGCATGTATTTAAACATACTTCTTATCGCTAATGTTTTATTCTGAGGAATTGTTTTTGATACAGATATGTTAGTTGGAGGTCGCATAAAATTATCTCCACCTGTAGATTCGGATCGTGTACCTCGATATTCACGAATACACACTTTCTTCCATTCCTGGTGAGAGTGGCTTACTTTGTACTCTATCTCTAGAAGAGATCGAGAGAACTTAAGAGTAGTGACTTGACTGAAAGGCACCAATTTGTAATTGTACAAAGCTGCACATGTTTTGTAGTCTTTAAAGTCATTTTCTTTGAGTTGCATAATTTTATAAGGCTTTTTGGAATTTACTTTCAAAAGTAAACGTAAAAGGGAAACCGGGGAGTAATATTCCGATTTTTTCAAAACCCGTTCTATGCAGCTGTGTACGGCATCAATTTCCTGATTGCATGAGTGTCCAGGGGTTGAAAATTTCATTGTAATTAATTCAATGTGTGGATGGCTCTGCATAAAAGTAGAAATAGCAAGTGACATAAGTGAATTTTTATTTTGGGGCACGCAGCTATCGCTCCACAAAACTAACGATTTCAACTGCGGATTATCTGAAAACACTGCTTCCAAAATCTTGATAAGAGCGCTAGCAATATCATTGCCACCTCTCCCCATTATGGCTTCATTCCACAATGAGCAATATACTTGCTTTGTGCTCGAAAGAGTTGCAGTCAAGTTGTAGACATTGAGTTTACTTTTATAGTAAAAGTTACTCACTTCAGCACGAGGACATGATAATACGTTCTGCATATCAAAGACTAAAAATATATTTCCATTGTCTCTATCTTTCTGTTTTTCTGCTCGAGCTGCATTTTTCTCTTCAATGTGCTTCTCGTAGTCCGTCCTTCTCTGGTCTGTGAGTGTTCCTTCATTGATCTTCATTTTAACTTCCTCGCAAAAATCACATCTATCTTTCCTTGGTATATGAAAAGATAAGTTGTAGTGTTGACAAAACACAGATCTATAAAAGGACTCCTTCACCGGTTGTTTGTTTGAAGAGGTACATACATCTCTATATAGTTCATACATTTTCTTTATATTCAAAAAAGGATCTAAGAATTGTCGTTGAGTTTCAGCTCTGCAGTAGTGCGATTCGACTCGGGGAAAAGAGTCAATATGCGTTTTAACGCCATTAAGATAATCCTCAGATATTTTGTGTTTTGTATGCTTACCTTGAGCAGAACAAGAAGGTATATTCGTAATGGCATCTTTATTTGCATGTACTGTGTAAACAGGTGTTTGGCTTATGGCCAAAGTGCTCAGATAAAAACTTTTACAAACTTGAATCTGCCGAGTTCCAATAATAAAATAGTAATTGAACGTCCGCTTTCTTCTGCTATTGGTTTGGTTTTTCCCTTTTCTATGACGCTCAACATCAAAACTTTTGGTTGTACTTACGAAATATAACTTTTTCTCCTGTTGTGTTAGCGTATACTAACGTTCAAAAAGATATTCCCTTCATCCGCAGTGATAAATTTTTGACAATTATACACACATTTGCTTTGACAGTCTTTCACAGTTTTTATTGTTTTAGCTGGTACAACCTTCTTTCTTACGGATATGTATGCATCTCCGGAAGCGTGAGCAGCTTTTCGAACATTACATTTCCATAAATCCGAATTCCTCTTTCTTTTCCGCGTTAGAATTTTTTTAGGGACGTTTTCAATTGGAGATTCAGAGGTAATATGTTCATGACCTAATTCATCCGTACCATGGGTGTCCGCACTACTATCAGGTGGTACATATTCAGGATCTTTGTCAGAATCATAACCATGAGTATTTATGATGTCATTCAAATCTGCTACCTGTAAATCACGTGAAGTGGAGCTTCCAGTGGAGCTCACAATTATCTTTTCGTTCAGTATTTTTGTTCTAAAAAAGTTAGGACAATGTTTTTCATTTTTACTCTTGCCATTAAAAAAATTAGAAATTTTACCTCAAATCCGCCAGTGTTTCAGTATCAGAGTCCATATTTTCTATTTTTTTCTAGGGGAGACAAACAAATAATTATTTCTAAATCTGCAAAATAGTTTTGGTTAAATCTAACCTCACTTTGTGAACTAAATTCTTTTATGCAAAAAAAGAAGACAATTTTAATTATCTTTACAATATTAAGATGTCTAAGCAACTTACCATTTAAGTCCATAACACACCTTTAAGAAAAATTTTAGATTTTACGTTATCACTGAAAACTTTTCGAGATTAAAAAAAAACAAACGCAAAACAGGTGGGCGATAGCAAAACCCTTAACCTAACCTCACTTTGCGAACTAAGGTTTTGTTTTTTGCAAACTTTTCGCGACTAACAAAAACACACGTCAAACCGCGCGGGACAACAAAACTGTATGTCAACTAAGAATATTCGTTTCCTTCTGTCACAAAGTTGTATGTGACACATACAACTGAGTAACTGAAATGTGATGATTTAATCGTCATACAACTAGGTAACTTTTGTTGCCTACGTCATAATATTGGATTTAGGACTTTGAAACGCTATGAGAACTTAGGCATATCG